CAACTACGCAAGGACAGGTTGGAATGTCAACAACTACTCAGGGACAGCAGGCCACATCAGAAGTTGAGTGTTCATATCACGTCGGGGTCACCAATATCGCAGGGGGTTAATTAAATTAAACCCAAGCAACCGCCATCTTCAGACCATAGTTACTTAGTAGAGAAGGTCTTGGGAAGGCCAGAGTAGTAGGAACAGTATATTGTGTACACAGAGGAAATGAGAATAGATTAAAGAAGTCTGACCTGGGAGAACACGACCAGCCAGGATACCAGCCGTGGTCCAAGTGCTGGTTTGACAGCAGGCAGGCCAGGAGACAGAGACAGAGAGAAAGCGTTCATTGGTTGGGTCGGCCTCGAAGGTTTTTGACCAGACAGATAGCTTGCGTCGGAAACGCATGCAAGCATACTATTCGTCACCTCGGTAAGTACCAGCTATGCGCCTTCTGTGATTGCCTGTTCGCAGACGTCGAAAACCGCATCGGTGGTCCTCTGGGAAAATTCACTACGACGCGAGCTAGTCACAACAGCGCATCCAGTCCCTGATGCTCCCACCTCATTCATTGTTTATGCTTATAATGTCGCAGTCGGCCCGGTTCTCCAGAAGCATCTTGCAGGTCAGACCCAACCTTTAGTTTTCTTCTCTAGAAAGTTAGAACCTGCCAAATCGCGCTACAACACATTTGGACGGGAGCTCCTAGCTGTCTACCTCACCGTGAAATACTTCTGGCACTCTCTCGAAGTGGTTCGATGCATTAGTTCTCACAAAGCTCGCGTCCCGAACATAAAACGGAAGTATCAGTCAACCTGGTAGGCAATTTACTGATAGTCTTCCTGGAGGTTGTAGTATCGGCAAACTCAAAGGAGAGCACATAGGAGTCCACGCCAACGTTTCTGAAGAATACTCATTGGGCACCCTCCAGCCCTTAAGTTTCCTCAAATGAGAAGAACTTTCGGATTTAGGCTACAAGTTTGCAGTGCAGATAAGTAACTGACTATCTCTGCCCGTTATTTCCAATCAGGAGAAAGCTGCTCAGTTCAGCCTGAACGCCCGCAAATAATTGAATAGATCAGCAGCAGATCAGGTTCCGAGTTAAGAAAGCTATGGCTCAATAACCAAAATTAAGTAAACCAACACAATGAATGTCTGCTCGCTTGCAAAATGCGCAAGTCCATCTTCAGACGGGTATTGCTGACGACCGAGGGGATCGTAAAATATGATGGTGTTTTACTTGGTCCTGCTAATAAACTCCCATGGGAGCCCGAAAGCTTCGCGGAGTAAACCGCCCGCCCGGGGATCGGATGATGCTTTTCCGATTCAGAGTCCCAAACTACAAGAGGCTGGCATATCTCCTAACCCGATCAATGAATATGCTTACTAAAGTGAATATTTCAGATTGCACCCGATAACAAATGAACATGATAGTTAGATACTCCTGCACAAATATCGGATTATCCAAAACTGAGGTGACCTCTGGCAGACAGACGTCGGCTAATAAGCACGAAATAATCATTTCAAACAACTTTTCCTTATTACTACTCCTCCCTATTGGGGCAAACGCCAAAGAAACCTGAAATCAAAGGTGCAGACGCTTTATAGTGTACTCGCTGAGAAGGCAGAAGATCGGTCGACTAGCGGCAATCGCAACGTCTTCTTAGTATACACAGATCGGTAAAAGCACGGAGTAGAAGTTAGTTCCTATATGATCCTTCGAATTTCCAGGGGCATGGTAAGCACGAACATGATCTTTAATTCTTATCCTGGAATTCTTAAATTTGCAAACTTGAACTATCGTTTAAGTTCCGCGAACCATTAAAATGGACTCTCGTCATGTATTAAGTGGTAATCGCGCTGTAGCTGATGGGTTTACGCTCAAATATTTCCATCGCTTCTCAGACTGACTTTATAAAGCTCTATTCCGACTTATTTACTCCACGTTACTTATTAAAACGCCGAAATTTCAAAAAATGGAATATCTGCCAGAAAGCACATAAAGAAGGCGGAGAGACCCACGGGTCGCAGGTGTGTCACGCATCAAAAAAATAATTATCTGGGCGTTTAGCTAGAAATGCGTTGTCAGTATGGTAAATCATGCAGCAGACGCTAGCAAGGCAGCTTAATCATGTTGGCCACTCGAACAACAGTTTACACAAAAGCCTTGCAAAACATGTTTGTGTACCCTGTTACAGGCCAAAGTTTAGTCACAATCTCTTGTTGAAATTCTCTTCAGTCATCATACAAATAAGTAAAAATGCAAGGTTAGAATCGTCGCACATAGAGGCAGCCGACTGCCAAAGAGAAAACACCAGAATCGACGAAGAAGACGGCAAGAGTAGCAGATACCGAGGTCAAACGGCTGAAAACTCAGAAGTAAACGCCTGGCCAAACTAACAAATTTCGAACGGACCAACCAAGAAGGGGGCAGCTGGAAGCTGGAGGGGAAGAGGTAGTCTGCACGATTAAAGAGGGTGAAAGACAGTTGACAAAATAAGTTAAGCGCGTTTTGAAATAGATTCCCTTGATCTGGGTTGGGACTTTAAAGAGGATGAAAAGAATGAAGCTGAATATTTGTTTTGAAATTAATCATATAGGGAGGGCATGAGGAGTATCACTTTCAGATAAGCTAAAACACCTAAAAGGAACATAGCCTCCAGGAGGTGGTGGGACCATGGTTAATAAAATGGAGGTCAGAAAAATAGGTGTATGAGGAGTTCTTTTACGTGCAGCTGAATCAATCCACCATCGCCCGTGGCCATATTTCACTTTTATACTTGGCTAAAGTACACGGTGAAAGAATAAACCCTTACTTTGCGGAAAGAAACGTTGGTTGAGACAAAAAACGAATCGTCAGGGTATGCGGAATGGGGAGATTGACTTAGAAGGCGGGTTGCTCAGCAACCTGAGGGGTTTGGTTGGGAAGAGTCGGCTTGGAGGTTTCGGGAATGCAGTAAAAATTGGGCAAGGCGAAGACTGTGGGCGATGAGGGTTGCACGCTGGCACCACCACTGTAGCTGTCATCCAGAAGGAATTGGCCTGGTTTGCTTGATCGTGAGCGAATGCCGCCTCCTCCTTGTTGTTTCTGAACAAGGTTAAGGAGATGTTCGATAAGAAGGACAGCATAATTCACGTTCACTTGGTCGCCAATGACAGAGACGAAACGACTTTCTGTACCCGGCATGTAGACACCCTTGTGAGAGATCTGGATAAGGGTGCCCGTATGAGCCTGCATGTCAATCAATGTTCGACCCTGGGGCCCGAGTAATCTTCCAATTAATGTTTCCGGAACCTGTTCAATACAAAGTAAAGACGGCGAGAAGTCTTAAAGCAGATAATGCGATTCGCTAGATTTTCAATAAATAAGGGTTCCTGAGATGTCTGAAAGGTTAATTTACTCCGCCTGCTAATTTTTCACATGTTTGATGCATAACAGACTCACTAAAATAACATATTGGTCTATTATCTAGTATTTATCTGTCACTGTTATTAATCAAACTTAAATGCTCTACCGCTGAACCAGAACCGACACCCAGTCGATTGTGGGGCAGGTGCTTAAAGGCATATGAGAATGGTGTCCAAGTTTATGATCTGACCACAATAGCAGAACGTTGGATTTTCGAAGAACATGATCCGGGCTCAAATCCTACAACATAACGACCTGGAGTTGGGGTAAAGCTATTACAATTTCGTTGACAATGCCGACAACTTCAACTAAATAATAGTTATTAGTCGCTACACCACCATTTGTGAGGGCTTCAGATCGACGATCGAAGATAAAACGAAATCTCGGTAGTCTATCATGAACTACTGCATGCAACTCCCTGTGCGAGACAAACAGAACGCGGATGAGTGCATGCCGCTAAGTGACTGTGGAGTAGGTTATATTGGTCGCAGGAGTCGACGCCTGCCCAAAAGAATAAAGGTACAACTCCCGGCATGGCTGAGAAAGGGGGAAGTCAGGAGCATAAACAGCTCTATGCTGGCGGATATAGATGACTCCGGACATCGGGTGGACCCCAACGAAGCTTTCCGAGTGATCTATAAGGTCCAACCACATTATCCAAAGTCCCTGGGTCAGCGCCTGCTACAGCAGAAGCGAGCGCTATCAGGTTGATAAAACCGGCGTGGTGTGCACAAAAGAACTTCATATAAGCTCCGCAGCTGGTGTGGCTTACAGTCACTTAGCGGCATGCACTCATCCGCGCTCTGTTTGTCTCCCTCCTCTCCTCCATCCCCTTCACTGCTCCACCAAACCATGTTTGCATAACCAGCTTTCTCTTATCGACTCTATCCCCCATTCCCACGACTCGCTTGTACGAGCAGACAAACACATTTTAACACGAAACCCGTTCCCATATAAATGTATTGGCCCCATGAGAGGTTATTGGAAGTATACGTACGCTCGCCAAGCTAGTCTTCTGAATTTTCTGATAGCAATTTTCGCAACTCTTTTACAATATTTGTGTTTTTCAGCATTCAGCAGTCATTATCAATCGCCACTAGGTCGCGTACATTAACCCTTCATCGCCAGATATCATAATAGACCATACTGTCATACGTTCGAGACGAGCAGCAGACCGCCAATCCATACAACATACTCTGATGGAATAAGCCACCATCTAAAAGCTCATGCACATTTATTTGTACACATTGGCGTCTACTGTCCAATATTAAGTAGAACTTTCTAGCAACAGGAATATAGTTTGCTTTCGTAATAATGAAGGGGGTATGGACTTACCAAAAGCTCTCTTGTACAAATTAGGCCCATGTTCGGCAAAAGAGATGGCCGAACCGTTGTTGTAAACGGAATACCCAACATAGGGGAATAGAGGTATTCCGGGGAGGGGGTAACGCTTGAGGATTCACCCTTAAGCGGGTCAGTAGGGCTGTTCGATGGAGGCTTTTGTTCGTGAGCGCCGGCAGGTGGCCACGCCGACCAGATAGCATCGCTGAAAGCGTCGCCAATTACGCATTGTTGGGTAAGTGACAGATCACAACACTGGCTTCCCTGTGTTGAATGCAGAAATTTCGACAGAGTCTGCTGATCAGAGATGAAAGAAGACTTGCTATCGGCAACGGAGTACGCGATGGCGGCTGTTGACGAAGGACGAGCAGAGGCGATTGAGGCAAGGAAGGCTGAGTCCTGATGCGGCTGAGAGGTAGTTGAGGGGGAGGCTGAGGAGGAGGTTTGCATGAAAGGCCGAGCAATAGGCAGGGAGGTAAAGGATGCGGGAGGGGAAAAGGTGCCGATGGGAAAGCCAGGAGAACGGAGAAATTGAGGTGACTGTGGTACGACTTTCTCAAAAACACCGGCACCTAAACAAAATGTCGCGCAAGAGTGAACGAAGAGAGGTTTAAACGGCACGAATTCAGTTGAGGTTGCGTAGCCAAATTTAAAACCAGGAAATAAACATGACGTCGGACTATAGAACAAGCGCACACTTGAAGAAGAAGAAGAAGAAGAATGCTATATTGAGGATTTTACAAACCTGGATTTGATAATTACGTACGCTGCCTAGATCTCAACATAAATATCAATAATAAGGGCGCTAACATTTCAATGAAGCTAACAACCCAGTCAATAATCTAGTTCTAGCTCAGAAGAAGTGGTCGAGCAATAGCATAAATTTCTTGGACATCCCAACCTTTATAACAATGGTACTGCAGAAACCATGCGATATATAAATAAAACAGGAGCCAGCAAAATCATTCTGTCTGAACACAAACACAAACCTTCGATACACGAAAAAGATACAAAAAATTCGGACTAATACAGCAAGGTCATTGGTCAGCGTATTAACTACAACAAGAGACCCGAAGGTTGTGAGTTGGGCTTATCTTTCTGAAGAAATAAATGGATGGGCACAGTGCAATTAACAGGATCATTCACTGAGGGCAAAATAAGAGTCAGAGGCTGGTGATAATTATCATCTGAAAATAATTATCTGTATACTTAGTAAAAGTGATGACTGTCTCTGTGTACGTCACCGTTATCATTTGTCGCAGGGGTCAGATTGAAACGCCTTCTGCGCCTTCGACGCGCGTGGGTCC